AGATGTGGAGAGAAAAGGAGCTCCTGTTACCTAAAAATAATCGGGTGACACTCTCAGGTTGCTGTTGGAATTCACATAGAGGCGGATCCAACCCCAGACTCCGATTTTTATTTACAAGCAGACACACTCCCCCCACATGAATAAGGTCAATCCACTCCCACAGAACAATGCATGGGGAATGCCTATACACAGGATGTACATTCCGATTGGAGCGTAGCCTTTCCTCTTATCTATCACCGGTCCTCCCCCCATGAGCCCTCTGAGGTCAGCAGACTTCCTGTCCTAGCTCCTAGTGGTATGTAAATTCTCTGTACAAGCATCCCTTAGATTAAACAGTGTCTGTATCTGAATGGGCCCGATATGATCTTTATTAAAACACATCCATCCAGATACAGTTTCAGGTTGGTAATGGCTTGTAAGATATACATGAGCCTACACGCGGAGTTCGCACTGCTTGGCGCCTTGCGGTATGGAGTCCATGTGGTACTATGCTGCTGATATGTGGATACAGGCCCACGGTCTACCGCCGGTGGCATGCACGTGGTGGTATACACACCGGTCTATAAGTGCAGATCTGCCATCTCATCCATTACCGAGCTGAGTACTGTAATACATACATTGTACATGCGCATGGCCCAATTGCAGCCTTCAGAGCTTTAATTAAGCCACATGAGAGACATATGAATAACACTAATATATGACACATTTAAAGTTCAACCAAAAATACAAAATTTCCATGACACAAGCGTAGGCCCAAAGCCAGGCCCCTGCATGCAGGATCCTGGGGGAGGCCCAGGAGGAGACCCAGGTGGAGGTCACAGAAAAAGTCTGTCTAAGACTTTGGATGGCGTTAGCCATGGTGCGGCTCTCGTGGTGCCATCGTTTAAAGACCTTGGTGGTGGCCCCAAGAAGGGAGAACCGCTGTTGGTTTATCGCAGTAAGATCATGGCCAGGTTGCTGCGTATTGCAAAGGAGGAGAAGTTGGCCAAACTGAGGATGGATCTCAGGAAGAAAGAGGCCGCTTGTGAGAAGGCTTGGAGTAGCAAAAGATCTCTACACAAGCTGGAGGTAAGAAGCTTGGGGGAGAAGGTAAAGAACCAAGTGTTGCTTGTCGCAGCTTTAAAGGAAACAAGTGGCAGCTTTAAAGAAAAATTTTCCAATGAAGCCAGGTTCATGACAATGAGGAAAAATGCTGAGGCACCTGACGCTGAGGCGTGCTCGTCCTGCTCAGGGGAATCCATGGATGTTGCTGAAGGAGATGTTGGCCAGCTTGCTGGAAAACCTTTACTGCAAGTGGAAGTATCGGTGTCGTCAGCTCTGGAGGTTTGCTTACACCTGGTCAAGCAGCTCAGGAATCGGAGGCTAAGGATCGGGATGATTGTGTGGGGACCCTGCAGGTCATCCGTGAGTTGGAGTCCCCGTTGGAGAGAAGGAAATTCAAATTCAGTGAGGAATCTTCGGATGAAGAAGGGATGGATAGTAGCCCACAGAAGCCCAAGGAAAGGGTTAAAGAAAAAACTGTGTTCAGACTCCGGCCAGCGGCGTTTCCACACAGGTGTGTGACTAGCAGGATGAGTCAGCTCCCTGTCTGCCTGCAGTGAAGGCCTTGAGCGTGGATCTAAAGACTGCTAAGGATTGTATTGTATCTATTGAATGTTTATCTAATGCTGGTGTTTCAGGTGCTAGTGGGGATACGGTCCCGCACCGGTATCTGACCCCCCTGAGTCAGTAAGGGGGGATGCAGGTGTGTCAGCGGCTGTTGGTGTGTTGGCCGTTGGCCACGCTGGTTCTCTGGGTGGTAGGTTGGATGTGCTGCCTGAGAGTGCTAAGGCTGTTAAGCTGGGTGCAGCTGCAACGGGAGTTAGTGATGGGGGGGAATGTAGCTCCCGGGGGTTCCCTGGTTACTGGGGTCTCATACGCTGGTGCGGTGTCAGGGGATGCACAGCCCATGGTTAGTTATGCGGCTGCTCTTGGTGGGGTAAGAGGGGGGGCCCCCTGTAGGTTCCTCCCTTGGGTGCGCGGCCAGTGTTGGGGGGCTCCTTTGTCAGGAGGAATGTAGTTGAGGTGGACGGGGGGTGGATAAAATTCTGGGAATGGGATTCAAAGTGGCAGATATTTTTGCCCTGATTAACCCAGTCGGGTTTATTGAGTTTGATTTATCCTTTGTTAAACCGGAAAGTCTCGATTTATTTTGGGAGAGCTATGATCATATCTACAAACAGTCCAAGGAGTGGGAGGGTCTGTCCCCTAGAGTTCTATCTAGGCAGCCTCTTACTAAAAAGATAACCATTTTAGTTAGAAATGAATCCATTCCCCCTACAGACTTGATGGTCTGGTTGAAGAGGTATGGTGAGGTGTTGGGTCCCTTGGGCAAAGTGCTTGATGAGAAGGGCATATGGATGGGTGGGTGGACTGCCCATGTTAACCTTAGAGTGTACGAGAATGTAGTACAGCACATTCCATCCTCTGCTTTCATCGGTAGAGACCGTATAGTTATTTTTTATCAGGGACAGCCGAAGCTGTGCCACAGGTGTGGTGATAAGGGCCATTTTTCTTCCTCGTTCCCTACCCAGAGATGTTCCTTGTATCAGGGCCTTGGTCACCAGGCTAAAAGCTGTAACATCATTCGTTGTAATTTGTGCAATGAGCTGGGGCACCCTTACAGCTTGTGCCCGGAGGCCCTTCATAACCAGGGGGAGCTGGTGGAGGAGCTACTGAGGATGGAGGCGGAGGACTCTGTCTCCCCCCCCTGTGGTTTCTTCCGTTGGCCAGGTGGCTGCGCTGGTTTCCCCACCTGCAGGTTCCCCAGTTCAGGTCACAGAGTCTGCTTCCGTGTCTGTATCTCCTATTGTGTCTGATCGTACTGTGTCAGTTTTGTCTAGTGTGCCTTCCCCTGTGTCGGTGGGTCCCTCGGGGCCTTTCTTGTCTGTGTCATCTGTCCCGTCAAATGTGTTACCTGCATCCTTGTCAATGTCCAACCTTAATCCTCACGTGTGTGTTGTACCCATTAAGGGCTCTCTGTTGGCGGAAGCCGCCCGTGGGGTGGATGGTGGTGGGTGCAGCTTTAAGGTGTCAGAGTTCAAGCACCCCCTGGCTGGGGGTAGGTGTTCCAGGGCGGTGGGATGGAGGGGGGCTAGTATGAGTGGGAGGAGGGCGGTGGAAAGGATAGTGTCCTCGCAGGTTCAGGAGGTGAGCAAGGTTGCCCCTTCTTCTGTTGGGGGTGCAGAGGGGTGGGTTCTGGCTGGGAGGAAAAAAAGGTTAGGCGGAATAAAGTGGTCCTTTCTGCGGCAGTGTCTTCCAGTTCTTTGGATCTGTCGGACATCTCTGTAGGAAATCGATTTGGGACTCTGACCATGGTGAGGATTCTGTAGATTCCATGGAGCAGACAGAGGAGGTTGTAGTCATTACCCAGGATCCCCAGGATTTGCAGGGGTCCCAGATGGTGGAATGTCAGGCTAAGGAATGCCCATCTTAATCGCCCTGATGAACAGGCTGAACAGCCTTGCTGATATCCACCTGATATCCACCTGGCAAAGAGGGAGTGGAGGCGTGGCCCCTCCTTCTGGTCTCTTGCGGCTGAGCCTTACAGTGGGGTTGCAGTCCTTTTTACTGGTATGGTAATGTGCCGGCGGGTTATTGAAGTGGAGATTGGAAGGTGCATGGTCCTGGACGTCTCTGTGAAGGGGCAGGACCTGCGTTTGATTAACGTGTATGGCCCGCAGTCCAAGTGGGAAAGGAAATGCCTCTTTACAAAGATTAAGCCGTTCCTTTTTACGGCCCGGCAAGTTGTCTTTGGAGGTGACTTTAACACCATCACTAGGCCCAAAGACAGGAAAGGCTCCACTGACAGGCTGGGTTATGATAGCGTTTTTCTTAATGCAGCGGTTAGGGATGCAGGTCTGGTGGATGCACTGATTAAGTGCAGCCCGGACAGCATGGGGTACACGTATAGGCGTGGCAATAGTGAGAGCAGGATAGATAGGTTTTTTTTGAAGGGGGTCTCTGCTTTTTTGACACCTGAGTGTCGGGCGGTGGAGTTTTCCGATCACCTTATGCTATCTGTGTTCTTGAGTATTTCAGATCCGGCCTTACTGGAAGACGATGATGTGAGACGATCCTTTGAGTACTTTTTCCAGGCTCAGGTGACCCTTCTGGATTTGTGTAACAGTAAGTCGGAGTGGTGGGAGCTTACTAAGCAGCGAACCAGCGAGTTTTTCGAAGCCCTAGAGAAAAGGAAACAGCTTGATAGGTATGTCGCCTATCAGCGGTTGCGGAGGAGGCTCGACCGCCTTGTCTCGTGTGGTGGAGATCCTGGGGCGATCTCAGAGGTGAAACTTCTTCTCAGGAAGCATCAGTATGACTGGTATGCCTCCTTGGTTCTGGAGAGGGACTACGGGAAGTACCACTCGCCCGACCCTTACTAGAACTGCAAGCATGGTGTAGCGATTAAGACGGTCTTAGGCTTGAGAGACAGTACGGGATCTCTGATGAAATCCAGATCGGGAATCTTGGAGGTCTCGAGGTCCTTTTATAAGGATCTTCTTGGGAAGAAGCATCTTGACCGAGCGAGGATGTTGGGTTTCTTGGATTCTACACCAGGTCTGGGGAGTGACGTTCCGCTTCCGAGTTTGACAGGCGGGATTACAGTGGCAGAGGTGGTCAAAGCCATAGAGAGTCTGGCCCCTAAAAAGACACCTGGGCCGGACGGGTTGACAGCAGAATTTTATAAATGTTTTAAGTCTAGCTTGGCGCCTTACCTGGTGGAGGTTTTTAATGGCTGTCTGGAGGAAGCCTCGCTTCCTCCCTCCATGAGGAAATCTGCTGTACTCCTACAGTCAAAGTGTAAGGATCCTTCGATTATTGGGAACTAGCACCCCGTCGGCCTTCTCAATGTCGATAGGAAGATCCTGGCTAAGATCCTTTTTTGGCGCTTGGCGTCAGTCGCAGACACTTTGCTTTCCCGTCAGCAGCACTGCTCGGTTCAGGGCAGAAGTACATTCTCAGCGGTGTTAGCTGTCTGGGAGGCCTTGGAGCGATGCGGGACTGAAGGCTGGGGAAAGTACTTGCTGACATTGGATCAGGCTAAGGCCTTTGATCGGGTAGACCACGAGTACCTGTGGCTTCTCCTTGATAAATGTGGCCTGGATGGGAGGTTCATTGGCTGGCTTAAGACCTTGTATAGCGGGGCCGAGAGCTTCATGCTGGTGAATGGTTGGATTGGGCAGTCCTTCGAGGTTGGTTCAGGGGTGCGCCAGGGGTGTCCTCTGAGCCCTTTACTCTATGCTTTCGCAGTCGACCCCTTCGTAAGGAGGTTGGATGGCGTAGCATTGGGTGGGGTGCCGGTGGGCATTCCTGGGGAGCCGCCTTTGAGGGTCATTGCCTATGCCGATGACATTTCTGTCTTTGTCTCCGGGGCTGAAGAGGCGCAGGTGGTAGTTTCGGAGATAGAACAGTATTCTGAGGTGTCGGGGTCCAAGGTTAATCAGGACAAGTCTGAAGTTCTCTGGCTAGGTGGGGAGGGTGATCGCTTCTCACTTCCCGGAGCCCCAGCAGGCAGTTAAAGTGTTAGGCATTGATTTTGGCTGTGTTGATTATGACAAATCAAATTAGGAGGCCAGGCTGTCTGATGCCGAGATCAAGGTGAAGTGCTGGAAGGGGTGACGGCTCTCCTTGAGGGAAAGGGTGGATCTGATCAAGACTTTCCTGATCCTCATTTTTTTGTATGTCAGTACTGTCTGCATCTTACCGGAATATCTCTATACGAGGATTTACAGCTGTTTTTTCCAGCTATTAAGGGGAAACAGGCTGAACCTTGTGAAGTGGGATGTGACATATCTATCCAGGCGGAAGGGTGGCCTAGGTATGGTCAACCCAGTGTTTTTTTTCTCTGGTGTTCTTGAAGCACAATTTTGGTAATCTGCTGGCAGAGAGACCGCCTGCATGGGTAAGTCTCTTTCGGAACTGGTTAGGCCTTTTCTGTGCTGTTGGGAAAATGGTGGGCCATTGAAAAGCTTGAGGGTCAAGCATGGTAAGCTCCCGACTTACATTGCCCTGAGTCTGAAAATACTCAGGCGGTGGTGTGTGGAGGTCCTTGGGTGAGAGGATTGTGTCCACTGTCTTCCACGCGCCGCTGACCTTGAGGGATTGCCCAGGCAATACTATGCAGGAGGGCTTGCGTTTAATAAATTCTGAGCGGATTCCCTTCAAGTTTAGGGACCAGGCCTGGCTCGGCTTTCATGGTAGAGGGGAAACCTGAAGTACCGCTCTCTGGACGACCGTGGTTGTTCAAGGGCGGAGTGTCGGGGTGAAGTGGAAACTATGGACCACTTCTTGCTTCGGTGCCCCTTCAATGTGGAAGTCTATAAAGAGGTGGGGAGGGCCCTTCCTGCACTGCTTGTATTATGCAGAGTGGGTGTATGGGGCATTGCAAGACTGCCAGGGTTTTGATTTGGACACTCTGTTTTTAGTCAGCTTAGTTGTCCGTTACTTCACGTGGAATGCACGGTGCCAGGTGTCCCTGCGGCAGAAAGTCCTTCCTGTCCCCGGTGGTGGTGTGTGGCATCCTTGGTGAGGTGGGTAAAATTTGGGGTCTTGAGAGAGACAGGTGGAGGCGAAAGGCCTGGATAGAGGCGTGGAGGGGTATCAGGCCTGTCGTCGCTGCTTGTTGACCTCTGGGTGCTGGGGCTATCCTTTGTTTCTCCTCTGACACTCCCTAGGTTTGTTGGAAGCTGCTTTTTGAAGAGAGGCTACATGGACCTGAAGATCTCTGTTCCTTAGTCTCTGTTATGTAATGTTTTGTATCTATGCTATGTGTCACTGTTTTTTCTGATGAGGCCATTAAGGCCCTTTGTCCTTGTAAGTCTATTATTTAAGCTATACAAGTCCTTTATTGACCACATAGGTTTAAGTATATATTTACCTTATGGAGTTTTTGTTGGACTTTGAGTTTGATTTCTACGGTTACATGTGAGTAATGTAATTTTACATATATTTATTGCTTTTTCTATTTTTGTACTTTTTTAGAAATTTTTTGTGTTTGTTGGTTGATAGATCATAAGTAAACAAAATTTCCTTTCCTGACAGTGGAGAGGTTGTGCTGGACTTTGCTCTCCTGAGTACCGGAAGGCCCAAGAAGCCTGGGGCTAAAGTGCCCTGCTCAAGCCCAGGGAGGATGGCGGATCCTGGGCCTGAGTCACCAGCGGTGGGAGACCCCCGGAGGGGCCTAGTACCGGTCCTGGCTTCCCATCCGTAGAGGACCTGGGAACAGCCCCAAGGAAAGGGGAGGATTATGGTGCATACCATGACTGCCCGGATCAAGACAATTGAGAAGGAGGCAAAGCTGGAAAAGCTGAGCTTGGAGCTCAAAAAGCTCCGCTCATTGTATGACAGGGTCTGAAATTCCAAGCACCAGGCAATGAAGATGGACCTTGAAGCGTTGGAGAAGCAGATGTCCCTCCAGGGGAAATACGTGGCGGCCCTGAAGAGGAAGAGTGGCGTGTTGCGGGAAAAGTTCCAGAATGATGCTCGTTTTAAGGCTGCATGGAGCAAGAGCGTTGCTGCGGCGAGGGGCCCGGTGGAGGAGGTCTCCTCCATGGAGGAGCTATAAGATGCTCCGGTGGTGAAAGGAGGTGAGCCGATGCAGGGGCAGGCTGAGCCCGCTGCATCTACCCTGCAAATGGCGGCTCCTGTTAAGGGAGATGCCATTGATGCCGGAGTTTCGGATTCCCTCCCCCTCGGACAGCGGTATGCTGATTGGGGAACGCAGGTGGAGGAGGCAGAGTCAGCTGGAGTGCTTTGTTTCGCGGGCGGACGTGGAGCCGGGATTGCGTGAGAACCACTTCTGGTTCACATCGGAAGATTCAGAGGAGTAAGTGGATGACGTGATGCCGCGCAAGCCGGTCCTGAAGGAGCGGAAGGCGTTATGTCAAGTTTCAGCGCATTCCTCGCTCTATGGAGAGTGAACTATTGGCAAAGGCGGGAGATCCGCTGGCCAGGGACACTGTACGGGACTCTATTACATCTGGTGGCGCGCCCATGGACTCTGGGGCGGCTGGTAATGTATCAGCAGGCATGTCTGGTGTGCAGGCCCCTCCCGCAGACCAGGGGGTGGGTGTTTCTGTTCCCTCTGTCCCGTCGGTCCTGGTCTTGCCTGTCCCCGTCCCTCCGGGGACTGGGGTTGTCCCCGGTGTGTTGTCCATCCCTCTGGGTCCCCTTGCTGGTGCTCTAGTCCCTCCAGGTCAGGTCCTGTCAGGTCCCCCTCTGTCAGTGCGGGTCCCCAGCCTCAGAACCCCTCTGGTTCTGCTTTACCTGGGTCTGCCCCTCCGGGTCCTGCCGCCTCTGTTGCGGCCCCCCCCTGTTTCTGTTGCCTCTGCAGTGGGTACCCCAGTGGTCCAGCCTGCCTTAAACTATTCTGCGGCAGTGAGAGGTGGTCAAGGGCAGCTTAGGCCACCCTAAACACGTGCTGGGAACCTGCCTACCGCGGCCACACGGAGAAACGTGGTCCAATTAAAATGGACCGGGGAGGATCCCCTTTAAGCCGTAGGGAAGTCATTGACAGGGTCTTAGAGATGGGGTTCAGGGCTGTGGACATTTATGCTTTTATTGCCCCTATAGGAATTGGGGGAGTATGATGTATCTTTTATGAGGCCTGAATTGCTGGACCTCTTCTGGCAAAAAATTTGAGGCAATATATGTCTGCAGCCCTAGGCAGGTTGGCCTTACCCCCAAACTCATATCCCGCCAAAATGTGATCAAAAAGGTCACAATATTGGTAAGAAATGAAGCTGTCCCGGCCTGTGACATTGTTGTGTGGTTGGGGAGGTACGGGGATGTTTTGGGGCCCTTGTCCAAGTTTCTGGATGACAGGAAGATCTGGACGGGCGGGTGGACGACCACAGTGCGGTTAAGGGTAGAGGGTAATGTGCTGCAGCACATCCCCTCTTCTGCCTTTCTCGGAAGGTATCGGCTCATTGTATATTATGCCGGTCAACCGCGCGGTGTGTCACCACTGCAGTGGCAAGAGGCACTTTGCTGCCACATGCCCGATCATCCGTTGCTCCTTGTGCCAGGAGATTGGCCACCTGGCCAGGGATTGCAATGTCATACTCTGCAATCTTTGCCATTTCCTTGGCCATTCCTAGAACCAGTGCCCTGAGGCTCTCCGTAATTTGCCTGAAGGTGAGTTAGAGGCAGAGCTGGACAGGATTGAGGGAGAGGAGGCTGCAATAGCGGCAGAAAGGAAGGACCAGTTTGGCTTCTGCGGCAGCTTCAGTGGAGGTAGGGGAAGTTTCTGTTGCCCCTTCTGTGTCGGTCCCCTGTCTAGTCTGCCCTGGTCCCAGTCCCCGTAGTCTCCCTGCTTTGCCTGTCCCCCCCTTTACAGGAGAGGGAAGAAGTTGGTGGAAGCTACCAAAGGGGCAGGGGTGGTGGAGGTTAAGTCTGGGCCTACTGTGCCTGTCCCCCCCGGTTCTCCTTCATTTTCGGAGGGGTAAAGTCCCTAAGGAAGCCCACAGGGTGCCCAGTGTCCCGCCCAGGGTGGGCAGGATGGGGTCCAAGTGGAGGAGGGGTGGTCGGTTGTGTGGAAGCAAAACAGACCTGTCCTTTCCGCGGCAGGGTCGGTCTCCTCCCATGAGGTGGAGGACCTGGCTCTGGATAATAAGTTTGGGGCTCTATCAGGGGAGGAGGTCTCTAGTGATCCAACTTCCCCGATGGAGGATGAGGAGGCAGGAGGGTCTTTGAAAAGGTCAAGGGACCCTGCCAAAAAAAGTCTAAAAAGAAGGTTAAGAAACGCCTCTCTCATCATCCTTAATGGCAGTTCCCACTCCGATAAAGGTGGCAACTATTAATGTTGCCAGCCTGAGGTCTGTAAGTGCTAGAGAAACAGCTTTATTTTTGATCAGCGGTATGGCTGCTGATATTTTGTTTTTGCAGGAGACCAGGTTGTCCAGCTTGGCGGATATACTCTGGCCAAAAGGGAGTGGAGGCGTGGGCCTTCTTACTGGTCTCTTGCGGCTGAGCCTTACAGCGGAGTTGCGGTGCTTTTTACCGGTATGGTAACGTTACTGGCGGGTTTTTGAGGTGGAGATTGGAATATGTTTGATCTGGATGTCCTTGTGAGGGGGCAGGAACTGCCCCTATTTTAATATATATGGACCGCAGTCCAAGTGGGACAGGAAATGCCTCTTCACAAAGATCAAGCCTTTCCTTTTTACGTCACGGCTGGTGGTCTTTGGAGGTGACTTTAACACCATAACTAGGCCCAAGGACAGGTGGGGCTCCAATGACAGGCTGGGATATGATAGCGTTTTTTCTGAATGCTATAGTCAGGGAAGCAGGTCTGGTGGATGCCTTGGTTAAGAGCAGCCAGACAGCACTGGTTTTACGTATCGGAGAGGTAATTGTCAGAGTAGGATAGACAGGTTTTTTTTTGAAAGAGGACTCTGCCTTCCTCGGCACCTGAGGTGTCGGGCGGTGGAGTTTTCTGACCACCTTATGCTTACTGTGACTTTGAATGTTTCAGACACGCCGCTGAGAGGGAAGGGCATCTTGGAGGATGAATTTGTCT